AGCGCCAAATAGCCAAATCGCCAGCAGGGCCCGCGCCGAAGGCCTTCGGAACGTCCCGAACCGGTCGGATTCTTGAGCCGCTATACGACCACAGCGCCGCCGCGTACATCCGGGACCTTTCTACGCTCCTCGTTCGTCGTAGCCTCATCCCACTAGACTTTTTTAGTATGCGCCGTTTTTTTTCGCCGCTTGGTGGCGGGTATGTTGACGGGTCATTTCTCGTTTCCGTACTTTCTAAACTGCATTTGTTTCTTTTCTGATCTAAAATAGTGAACAAAAACTACTTTCCTTTTAATTGAAACAGTTCGCGACACTTTTATTTTGTATCTCGACTAAAAAAAAAGCTCTTAGCGGCTTTGACCAGTGGCAAGCCCAGGACCAAAGACGTCACTTTTTGCGCGCTTTCGGTACCGCGGGTCGCCCTCGTCGTTGGAGGAGGTTTCCGCGTCGTCCGGTTAAAATATGACGCACTGATATTTAGTTACTCTCTCCGTGCCCGCTGGCTTGCCCGAACCCCAAGAGACGTGGAAACCGCAAAAAAGGTAGATGGTTAAATATGATTGCAGGGCCCCTTTAAGCAAGGTTAAGCAATGACTGCCTCGTGCCACCACACATGAAGGTGTCCACGGATTAAAGCCACATTTGAGTCTACTCGCACCTTTGAGAAAATTGGTTTTGCCATAACCTACACCTTGTCGGGGTAGAAAACTTTCGGGCCCTTTATTTCCTGTGTTGTACAATACCCCAAGAGGTCCTCTGTTGAAACGGGACTATCTTGACCCCCTTGGTTAGAGGCGAGGCCCCTTGCCACCATTCAGCGCAGTCTACTCATTCATAGATGTTGCTCCTTTCGACAAAATGCCTGTGGCGACAGCTGGAGCTAGTGAAAAAGCGGACACCATAGCTCTTCCAAAAGCACCCTGTTCTTCCTCAAGAGCGGCTAGTTCACCCAGGAACAGTGCAATGGTGCTTGGTGGTCTGTGATCGCAAAGCACCGGTCATAGCCCCACCAACGGCGGCGGCGGCGCCAACCCCCCCCCCCCCCCCCCCCCCCAACCTAGAGTTCCTGTATGGCTACCTACGGTAGCAGAGGTGCGCATTCAGCCTCGGCGCGTGGCCGTAGCACCGGCTTTCCCGCACGAGCTGGATGCTTTGCTCCTCACGTGACTAAATTTGGCGAATAGCGGCGCCGCGCGCGGATGAAAAACAGGAGAGGACGAAAAGGAGGCGGAAAGCAGGGAAACATACGCTGGGGCAAGAGAAACGTCGGCGGAGCGACCGTAAAGGTGGCTTTCTTGCACGCCACCGGATGCTTTGCTCCTCACGTGATGGATCTCGGCGAATAGCGGCGTGGCGGCACGGGGAAAACAAATGTGCAACTCTGGCTCCCGTAGGGAGCCTATACAGAAACTCTACCCCCACCCACTGACGTCACTCAGGTGACAAGCATTTCACTCGCATGACGTGACTCCAAGCCATACTCACTATGGCTGGCGACAACGCATAAAAGGCATGCGCTGGCCCTTTGACCCACGCAAAGTGCAGTGCAGGAAGTGGAACGGCATCGGTGACCCAGTCGCTGCAGTTACCCAGAACTGTTTTACTGCTGTCTCGGCGAAGGTGCAGGCCCGCTGTTTGATGCACGTAGGTAGAAGTCATCAGCCGCAAGCATCGGACACCTGGGGTGGAAAATTTTGCCCCCAACAAAACAATAACCATGAGAAGAGTGGTCTAGCCGGTGAATTGCAAAAACATAAAAAGCAGGCACATAAAGAAGTATTTCTGTTACCTCGTCTCATGCTCAAGCATTGTTTTGGATAGTATACATCAATAATGCCTGTCTCGCAGCGGCTTTCTGAACAAAATGTAGTAGAAAATAAAACCAGTTGAATACCAAAGGAGAAGTAGAACAGAGAGGCACTTATTTGTTGTCACTTTAACATGCACACTATGGAAGACCACAACTCTTCGCAATTAACCTGTAGCAGAATCGCTTAGCAGTTCTGCGGCAGGTGTGAATGTACCACGAGGCAGAACACAGTATTTGTGCAGAAAACATCGCAGGCCTACCAGGACGAACAGCGACATATTTACCCGCCACAAATTCAACGCGCCGGGAGGGCCATTCGCGAAGCCTGATCTGTTTGTAAATCCCGTCTTTCGACAGAAGGCTTTTGTGACTGCACGAGCTCGTCAAAAGCTGACATTCCCAACATGCAAATGCGGCGCAGGCGGCACTTGGGAGCCACATGCCACTCCCGTTGATTATCTCTATTATCTTCTTCTTTGTCCCCGACGCTACGTGAGGTAGCCAAGCGCTATCAAATTCCACCACAGCGGTGTTGAATCGACGATCGAACGCCACCAGTAGGTAAATTCCACTCACCTTTTACTTTCCGAACAAGCGTCCCACGGACCTCCATGTGGCGAGACGGGGCCTGTTGCTGGCTTGCATGAATGCGCTGTGGACTTCACTGCCGACGCTCGTTCCCAAGCATTGAATATCACGACCAACTCCACTCGGCAATACCGCGGCACAGAACACGACAATGTATAATACAAGAAAGACCGCTGGAACCACTCATATGGAACCAACGCGACCGCTCCGAAAAGCGCCCAACAAACACTTGGAGAAACGAAAAGTAAAAACAAAAAGTAAAATTGGAAGAAGCAAAAACAGACAAAACAAAACTTTTCGTCACTTCCGGTTTGTGTTGTTTTGCTTGTTTTTGCTGTTTTTTCTCAGCCAATAGGCGTTGCAACCTTACTGCGGCGAAACGCTCGTTGCTAGGGAGGCTCTACTAGAGCACTATATAGCTCCTTCGGAGCAGAGTAGCGCAATCTAGAACGCCGCCTCTCGGCGACTAGCGGCGAACGCCCGGAGGTTCCAACTGCGGTCAGAAATGCAAGGAGAACGTGAGACAATCGCTGTTTCCTCAGTATTGTGGGGGTGTACGGAGTGGCAATTGTTTTTGACATAATAATGGAACATTTTAGAATAATTTGCGCTAAGTTTTGTGCCCCGCAAGGACCTGACTTTTTTTAAAAAATTGCTTGAGCGGCATCATGCAGCAGACAACACGGCGACGTCACACCATTCACGTGACCCGCTCCGGCCAACCCGAAAAGCCCATCTCCGCTGCGAGCAAAAATCGTCTGCTTCAAACGCCATTGCCTTGGAAATTGCCTTCTCAAAATTTGCACACGCATCCGATATTATTAAAACTTTGATAAAGTTCCGCCAAAATGTTTACATTTAAGACTTTGATAAAGTGTTTAGTGCTTTACTAACTTCACGGCAGACTAGTTTTGAAAAGTGTGAACTCGCCGTTCATTTTTTAATCAGCCGTGTTGTACCGATCTCCATGTATTCTCCCATAGGGCGGGCCGCCTCCTGGAACCCTGAGTACCACGTGACTCGCGCCGAGCCGCTCTGTCGGCCATGTTGTCGGCAAAACACGGGGTTCAAAGGATTGCGCTACTCTGCTCCGTAGGAGCTATATAGTGCTCTAGGCTCTACTAGGGTGGCTCCTACCCACTGATCTCTGAGATCAGTGCTCCTACCTCGTTGCAACAACCGCAACAACCTAACATTTCGGATGGATAAATAGCAATAACTCTACCCTTTGTAACAGGCAGCAGCTTGCGCTACCTAGCGTAACATTTCGTCATCCTGTCTAAACTCCCTCCCCCCCCCCCCCCCCCCCCCCCCTCTTTTAAAGCGTTTCCATTGCTTATTTTTATCTGCATTTTGGGATGTCATTTGTTGCCACTTCGGGACCACTTTTGACTTATGGACAGCATAGGACGCTAAACCAACGTTACGCTAAACACACCAGTCACTAGAGAGCCTAGATTGAAGAGGGGAGGAGGGGGGCATAAAAGGAATCGTAGGCAGATTGTTGTCAGTTTAGTTTTTCAAACAAATTCACTAATATGAAGGATTACATCGCAACCTGTTGAGGAGATGCCAGCGCGGTAAGACTTGTAATCTTCTGTGCTCTACGCATTGGAATGCTTGCCTTCTGCGCACGAACCCGAAAGCTTACATTTAAATACCTACTCACTAGTGATGGGGCTAAGCTAGATATCATTGGGCTAAGCAGACTACAGTGGAAAAGGGAGTGAAAGAGGCTGAAATAAAAATGTGGGTGGTATAAGAATGCAAGAAAAATCAGCTCTAGCAATCTACAGATTTGGCCGGGGCCCTTGGTTTTGCTGGCGACGATGGAATTCAGACGGAAGAGAAAAGGATTAGAGTCACAACGAGGCGACTGGAAGGTCGATGGAAATTATCTAAGGAAACTTTTATGATGCACAACTAAGCGCAGAGGAAAATTGAGACTTCGGCCCAAAGTCTCAAGTTCTCAACCCTGTCCCCCAGGGGGTGACAAGGTTTGACCCGTTTGACCAGAGGAAAATTGGCGACTCTCTCGCCGGGGGGGAAGAGGCGGGGGGTGATGTTTTTGTAGCGTGAGCTACACTGTTCGAGGTTGAGCAGTTTCGCTCCTTGTTCGCATGGCTCGGATAATGAGCCGTGCTCCGTGCTGCGCATGCGCGAGGAGCAGTGACGTCACACGGCGCATGGCTGGCGCGCCGGAGCCGCCGCCGCCGTGCCCGCCTCGCCGGTCTGCGCATTCCAGTAGAGTGACGTCATAGCCGCGGCAGACCCACTGGCGCCGCCGCGTGCCCAGCTGTGCGCCTCCGTTGCGCAGTAGCTAAGTCACGCTGTACCGGAGCCGCTTGATGGCGCCTCTCATTTTGTGCGCATAAGCTCACGCTACGTATAACTTGGCATAGCCAAGCTAAGCCACCGAATTTTTTTTTCTTTTTAGTTTTATTGTTTGATTTCCTAAAGGTCATTGATATCCCACACCGCCTAGGGAGAAAATTGGCTTAAAAGAACGAAAATAATCATGTTTTTTTTTTTTTTAAACTTGGGCTAGGTGGTGCAAGCTACCGCCCGTTACAAAGAATATAGCCATTAACATCCATCTATATAGGAGGAAAAAAATCAACGCCAACACCAGCCAACACCGCCAACGCTTTCGTTCATCATCGAGAAGTTGGAACTTGGAAATGTCACAAGAAAGCGGAGCAGAAACAAGGAGGCTATAAACAATACCCTTCTAATCTCTTTGAACAGGTACCTTCGGAGCAGAGTAGCGCAATCTAGAACGCCGCCTCTCGGCGACTAGCGGCGAACGCCCGGAGGTTCCAACTGCGGTCAGAAATGCATGGAGAACATGAGACAATCGCTGTTTCTTCAGTATTGTGGGGGTGTACGGAGTGGCAATTGTTTGTGACATAATAATGGAACATTTTAGAATAATTTGCGCTAAGTTTTGTGTCCCGCAAGGACCTGACTTTTTAAAAAAAATTGCCTGAGCGGCGTCATGCAGCAGACGACACGGCGACGTCACACCATTCACGTGACCCGCTCCGGCCAACCCGAAAAGCCCATCTCCGCTGCGAGCAAAAATCGTCTGCTTCAAACGCCATTGCCTTGGAAATTGCCTTCTCAAAATTTGCACACGCATCCGATATTATTAAAACTTTGATAAAGTGTTTAGTGCTTTACTAACTTCACGGCAGACTAGTTTTGAAAAGTGTGAACTCGTCGTTAATTTTTTAATCAGCCGTGTTGTATCGATCTCCATGTATTCTCCCATAGGGCGGGCCGCCTCCTGTGGAACCCTGAGTACCACGTGACTCGCGCCGAGCCGCTCTGTCGGCCATGTTGTCGGCAAAACACGGGGTTCAAAGGATTGCGCTACTCTGCTCCGTAGGAGCTATATAGTGCTCTATGAACAGGAAGCCCGCCAACCGCGTGCCTGTGGGCGAGGAGGATACGTATTATGCAAGCATGTGCAAGCGAAAGCAGCGAAAGTGCTTTAGTGCGAGTCACAGTTTATCATGCTTTCTCTTTTCTCTCTGTGATGCAAGCCATCGCGGTTTGTCGCGGTGCATACAATGCTCACCTCCGATGCTGGTGTTGTCACGTTAGCGTTTGTTTGCTCGTGATTGCCGGCGAGCTTTAACTGACGAGCGATATGTCAGCAACGCACCGTGCGGATTCCGGCCCGTTTGCCGATCGCGGCGTCGAAGAGCCCGCAGCCCGAGTATCAGTCGTCGATCTCGCCAGTGTGCTCGGCGAACTGTCCCCGCTGAACCGAGTGCAGCTCGCGTTCTTTCTCTACGGGGTGTCGGCTCCTGCGCAACGTCGAGAGCTGCTCGCCTTTGTGGTTGGCGACGCGACGTTCGACGTGGTGAAGGACGCCCTCGACGCCGCGACGGCGGCCGGCTCCGAGACCCTGATCGTCGAGATCATGTACGTGATGGAGAAGTTCGCGCTCCTCAGGAAGACCATGAACTTGTGTCAGCACGCGGCGGAGCGGCTGTACGGATCTCCCAAGAGGATATCCGAGTTTTGGTGGGTATTCGGCACCGCGGATTCATTTTCGTGTATAAGATTTCATTTCTTCAGTACTTGCAGCGCATTTTCGTATATTAGGGGGGGGGGGGGGGGAGAGAGAGAGAGAGAGAGAGAGAGAGAGAGAGAGAGGGGGGGGGGAGGGAGGGAAGAGAAAGGAGGAGGAGAGACACACACAAAAAAGAAAACAAATTAACGGGTAATAATTTTCAACAACATTTTAAGACCTCGCAAGATCAAAATGACACACTCGCGACAACCAAAGCACCCTTCAGATTTGGGTGGTCACGGGGGTGCTCTATGTATTTATAGTATCTACGTAGATCCCTTTGAATAATGAAAGTGTCACTGTCATATGTTACTTCTCCATATACATGCCTCGCATGTGATGTCGTATGGCACCGTACCAGCCGCCAGTGCTACGTACCATGCTCCCGTGCCCGTTCTTCCTGCAGCATACATTTCGCAAAATCGAATTTGTTCTTCTTGACAAACCTTGCGGAGAAGAACAGATTCAATGGTGCTAAATGTATGCCGCAGAAGGGACGGGCACTGGAACATGGTACGGAGCAATGACGGCTAACGTGATGTCAATGCAAGCCATGTGTAATTTGCAATCGTCTGTGAACATTCTCATGCCTGAAGTGACTAACTCACTAATATCATTTACATAAATTAAATATAATAAAGGTCCCAAGACTCCTGATGTTATTTGTGCAATTCTTGATTTACTTCAATTTACTACAACGTACTGGCATCTTTCGTGCAAATATTAAGAAATCCAGGAGATAACTTAAAAATTAATATTATAATGGAATAACTTTTCTGGCAATAACTAATGAGGTACCACATCAAACGCTTCACGGAAGTCCAAGAAAACGCCGTCGACAGTTTTACGGTTATCCATTGCCTCGGAAAGTATGAACTCGGTTAACTGTGTGACGCAGGGAGCCGTGTTGTTTCGGATTCAACCCCTCCAGAAGCCATGTTTCGCATTCAACAATGAGTGGGCATCCATATGTTTGACAATGTGCTAAAGCAGGTAATAGTCATTGTTATATTAAGCATGCGTGCAAGTTCTCCCGCACTCTAGCTGGAGAACTCGCATGCATGCTTAACATAACAATGATTATCACCTGCTTTAGCACATTCTTGCATTGGTGCAGAAAAGAACCCACACTTTTCTGTGCCGGTGCAAGAGGTGCAGATAAATTGAATGGAGCTACATTCTGTCGCTTCGGTGATATGCTAGCCTTTGCTCTTTGGGATGCGGCCATAATATTCCCTTTTCATTTCAGGAGAAAACTGGGTGCCTTTTGTGAAGCATGCCAAGAAGCTGAAGCCCACGACATCGTAAAACACTTTCTGCCTGATGTGCCGTTGGACCGTCTGCAGCCCGCCGAAGCGGTCGTTCTCTGGCTTTATGAAAACGGCATACTCAAAGATGGCGACTGCTCCAGGCTGTATGAATACATCACGGGTCGTTACGATGAGGAGCTAGTCAAAACCATTCGTAAGTTTCTCGCACGTGGTCGTAACTGCGGGCGACATCGGACAATTCTACGTCGACGCTAACACGGCGGGAGCGCATTCTTGGGGGACGGTGTGGCTTTCCATGCTAACGTAACTTCAAGGGGAGGAAAGAAAGTAACAAATAATTTTTTTGAATGTGCCGTATTTATTATTGCCGTTCGTGCGGATTATTGCTGCATTCTTCACAAACGTTGAGTCATTCTTCAATAATTTCGCTGTAATTATCTACACTTTGTCGTTGCTGAGAAAGGTGCTTGAATTCGGTTCCGTCAAAATCTACTTCAACTTCGGGTATCATTCCATACATTTTCAGTTTGCCGTGTCTCAAAACTATGTATTGTTCCAAGTGCATCCTCAAAACGACCAAACAAGTGGCAGTCCATTCAAGGATGCACTCGGAGAATGCCGTCCTTCCTTCGATGATGATTCAAGCTATTTGACAATCTCCGCAAGGACATGGGACTGGGATCAAGCGTCTTATGCAGCAGCAGTGGCAAAAAGTGTATACATTAAGATAACTAAATGTTTCGGAAGAATAAACAATAATCCCCATGAATGTTGCTAATACATGTGCCATACTTTGCGAGAAAAAAACATTCGGAGGCACTACTTTGGTGCCTGCCCTCGTAATTTATTCGTCCCGCTATTTTACGAGAATAGCAGATGACCAGGCGATAAAGCAAGACGGCGACCGTCACTCCGCACATATTTCTTGCCTGACGAAGCGCTTGTTGAACGACGCCGAGGTCAGTAAGCACGACATTCTCCGTCAATCGCCTTCGTAATGGCCGACGGTATTTTTGGTGAATATGATGAATATGGGAATGAAGCTACATTGGCTGCTCCCAGCAACGAGTCTGTATTCCAGCATGAAGATCAAGGATCCACTGTTGTCTGTTCACACATTGGCAGGACCACCAAGTGAGGAACGTTACCCCATGGTCCACAGCCCTCACGGCAGGGCGATCATTATCAACCACGACAGCTTCAGAGATCCGGACAACGTGGTGAAGCTGGACACACGCAGCGGAACAGCACGGGACGTTGGTACGGCGACCATTTGACGCTGCTTTTTTCGTCTCTTGAAACAATGCTACTTTTTCCATCTATTGACGGTGGTTTTGCGAACCAGCGAGTAGTCTGGACATTAAGGTGCTTTGAAAAACAATTTTTTTTACATAAGCCTAGCTTCATTTCCAGTCAAATCTCATAGTTCATATCCCTAAATTTCATTATCAGTTCAGCATCGAAATCCGCAGTTAAAAAGTTGGTCAAGCACAAAAGGGCACAGCATTGCTCGTCGGTTTGACAACACAACTTCTGTTGTTAGAGTAAGTTATATAGCGTGACTAATATTTCGTTTTATTTTTATTTTTTTTATTCAAAGGGTATTACAGCTCACACATGTGGGCCACACAGGAGGCACGGGAACATAAAAACATTACTACAGTGCAATCCACTTATAACAATAATTAGAAAACGCAAAAATTTAATCTTTATAACCGATTATCATTGTATCTGGACTAGAAACTGATCGTTTCTAGTCTAGAAACATCGTTATAGGCAGTACATTGTTATATGTGGTATCGTCATAAGTGAATTGCACTGTACTTGTGTATGACAATTATGTATGACAATTAAGCCATATGACAATGTATGACAAGCCATATGACAATTATGAGCACTATCTCGCAACAGAAGTATTCACGTCTGCAAAGCCGTCAAGTGACGGAAGGGTTCCAATTTCGCAATTGGGCACAGTATAGAAAAAGTGGAAATTGTCAGCCATATATTTGAACAGCTTATAACGGCGAAAGCATGACAACATTTCGGCCCACACTGCTTATTGATGTCATCGGTAATTGCGACGCGATGCCAAGGGCTCTATTTTCGTTAGAAGTCCTTAATCCAAACTTTCGACAGTACAAGTACATGCGATTGAGGCTCCCATTTCAACATGAAATTGCAGTAAGTGGACAGCGTCTGGGGTACCTGGATTCGATATTGTGCTCAGTGCGTCATTCAGGATAAAGCGATATTCCATGTCCAAATTAGTGGCCCGCATTTTGACACATCTTTCTCTCGCGTCGTACGACGTAGATGCTCTGCGGTGCTTGTGGGAAGAATTCGGCTTCGAGGTCGAAGTCTGGCAGGACAAGACGGGCGTCGAACTCAACCAACTGCTCGCCGAGCTGGGACAGCGCGACCTCGCAAGTTTCGATGCGTTTGTGCTAGTCATCCTCTCCCATGGATACAAAGGTAACTTGTTCCAACCTTCCTTGTTGCTTAGTGCTCGCAGCACACGAGTATTCCAAAACAAACGAAAATTGACTAGTTTGGCATAAATACCGGAAACCAACAGAGCCGTGACCGGAACCGAGTGGAGCTCTCCGAAGATCTCGGGGGGACCTCACGACTCTCCCCCATTGCACCGTGTGGCGAGGGAATTGTGAAGTTGTTCCGACGTTGTCTCTATCCGACTGTGACACTTTGTACATATCCATTCTCTCTTGTCGTTGCGAGTTCAGAATGCACAAAAATAAAACGGACGCAGAACAAGGTCATCACAAAATGTTAAGCCACCGTGAACTTTTTCTTCGATTTCCGAATAACCTTCCACGTGCCGTACGTCGGATCGCTGTGGTACACCGAGCAGACGATGGGAATGCCACATTCCTGGAATGTTCTGGTGGCCACAGGTAAAGTAGAAAGGGAGGGTGAACATATGGAGGCCTACGAAAACAAACAATACATCTCTGTTTACAATATTGTCCAGAGTTCCTTTAAAGTCAAGCTTGCCTGTATTTCGTTCAGTACACCAGTGAAAGCCTCGACCACCAAGTATGCCCATGTGGTCGGCCGTATCATGTTAAGGAGCCAGGAGCTCGCCCTCACACTTTGAAGAGAATCAGCGGCAGCGTGTGGGTGTTCGACTGTACATACGAAAGAGCAGAGGCTACAGGTGGCGCGAGCTGCTGCCCGATTCGGAGGGCGTACCCCCTGCCATCCTTCCTTGCATCCAATGCGGGGCTCCGAAAGATCGCGTTACAGAGCTAGCAGGAGTTATTGTTGTTTTGGGGGAAGACACCGAGTCCTTAGCGGCACTTCTCCTGCAGGCGGGTTCTACGCGAGCGACTGCAAGCGGGTGAGCCTGGAGACCGTCGAGAGCTTCCTGTGCAACCGGTGCGAAGCGCTCAGGGGAAAGCCGAAAGTAGTCTGCGTCCAGGCGTGTCAGACCAACGACTCCGTGGACGAAGTCAACTGCGACGCCCTGGGTAGGTACCCGTCGTGAGTAGTTCAATCGAACGCGGCGAAGAAATGTGCGGCGGGGAGTGAGTGACTCCTGACGCGTCGGGAAGCACCGGCTAATCGGTCGGCAAGGCCTCGGCGGTGTTTTATTGGTGTGGCCAGCGGGCGTCATAAGCTTCCTGCTCTCACTAACGCTTCAGCACCACGTAAAGCGTCGCGTGAGCCTCGTGCGTCCGCACGCAGCCAAAGCTCGGCGGAGGGCAGTGAGTGCACGCCGTAAGTTGGGCGTTTGAAAGAGACGTCCCACCATTCTTAGCTTGCCAGTGACAATAGTGGAGATGGAGGTGAAAGGGAAAAAGTGACGGAAACGACTACTGCAAAATGCCGGGGGAGCGCCCTCCCTGCTTCCACTGAAAACCTAGACATAAGCGTTTGTCCGGCCAAATCGGGTGCTTAACGTATAATTTACAAAATTCCCAATTTTGAAAACGTTAATGGTGGGCACTTCTGCGTTATTTTACGGTAATGTGACTAAGATATCGGTGCATGCAATTCTGTACGGCTGCCACTGATTGAAGCGATTGTGGCGAAGTATTTGCTTTTTCTAATATTTGTTTAGTAGTCCTCAAAACAGGCTGTAAAGGTCTCCTTTGGTGTTGGTTTTGCTGTGCCCATGCGAGACGACTTGTAAGCTCCGATGATTGTTAGAATCTAAGTTTAGGTTTGCTGTGTAGCTCTTTGGACGTTCTTAGCCCGCGGACAAAAAACAGTGAGTTCACTAGGTTAATTCATTCTTCTTTTTGTCTCCGTATACCGTTACAGAGGAGTAACTCGTTGCAGTTTACTGCACATTCCGAGTTAATTTCGGCACGTGTATTTCCTAACCTTATCTAGGGTCTGGTTCACCGAAGCCACCGCCGGGCAGCTTGCAAGAAGTGATGGTGGGCGGCCCGAACGTCTTGGGAACGGCACCAAACCGTGCCGACATGCTCAAGTTCATGTCCACGATACCCAAGTGAGTATGACAAAGACGACACCCTAACAAGAGTCGTCAAGCACTCTCAAAGTGCCATGTGTATTCGCATGGAGTTCACAGAGTGGCCGCACAGATTGCACCATTCACAGAGTGCCTGCACATGTCGGCCATGTTGGTGAACCAACCTGACTTGTCCTCCAGTGCTTTGTAAAGAGACAATTTTACGAACGAGTGAAACAGATTATCGTCTCTGCGCTATTATATCTTGGGACACAATGTTGTTCGCAGCATAATAGTTTTGTTTCTTATTAATTTGCAGAGTTGATTGCCTACCCATAGCTTTTTATTATGTACTTAATAAGCACAGAGTGCAGTGGATGGCCAATCTGCATAGGCAGCAGTAATTGCCTTGGTGCAATGTGCGAATAGTGGATTTTGAGTTCAAAGCAAATAGTGATTTTGGCCAAATATTTTTTATAGTATATCAAATAGTGTCGCCAAGCTTTTCACTACCGTGCACCATGCTTAAATTATAACTGCAAAGAAAAAAATTTTTTAAACAGCTTAATTTGGACAAGCATGTCAAAAAATCATTCCGTGAGAAAAAAAATTTTTTACAGCAATATTTACCTACTTTCTCGCGCATTACCCGCATCAAAATAAAAAAAAAAAATTCAGGGCAAAGTAGGGGTGCGGGTCATACGTGAATTTGGACGCGAGTGTGGCTTCACGGCAGTACGCGCCGAGCCGCATGGTCGGTAGGGACGTAAATTCCTCAGAATCCCTCTTAGCCGTTGCTTCCTAGGTACTTTCTCCCGTTTCTCCTTTTTTATCTTCTATTTTGGAGTTGCCATCTTTGCATTGTGTGCGCGCCAAAATGCTGGACTGGCCACGCACTCACAAAGGGAGAACGAAGCAAGAAATGTCAATCTTGCCATCTTGGCGTCCCGTTCCATTCGGCATGAGCTGTGCTCGGTGGCAGTCCTTTACGGCGGAGCAAAAACTAAAAAAAATCACCGTTGCCGAAGAGATCAGGAACGGTGCGGCAGGCCGAAAGTATGATGTCGACGAATCTCGTATACGCGAGTGGAGAGCAAAGAAGCAGGATCTTCAAAGTGCAAGCCGTGACCGCAGGTCCTTCCGCGGTCTCAAGACTGGAACCTACTCCCAGATCGAAGCCAAGCTGTCGGAGTTCATTGAGGAGAAGAGAGGCCACGGCCACGCCGTATCAACAGAGATGGCCCAGATCGAAGCTCTGAGGATGGCAAGAGAAGACGACATACCGCGCGACCAGTTTCGTGCCAGCCGCGGGTGGTTTTACCAATTCATGAAACGCCAAAGATTTTTCATCCGGAGGCGGACGACCTTATGCCAACGACTTCCTGACGCCTACGAGGAGAAGTTAGTGAACTTCCAGCGCTACATGATCGAGCTCCGAAAGTGACATAAGTACTTGTACTCGCAGATTGGTAACGCGGACCAGACTCCCATGTACTTTGAAATGTCATTGGACACAACTCTTCGGAAGAAGGGCTCCAAGTCGGTAAGCATTTTGACGGGCGGCAACTCGAAACTGCGCTGCACAGTGATGTTGTGCGAGTTAGCAGATGGCATGAAGCTACGGCCGTACGTAATTTTTAAGCGCAAGACGCTTTCCACGGATTTGCCCTCCGGGATAGTTGTGCGTGCGGAGGACAACTCCTGAATGAACAGTCATCTTGTCGTCAACTGGTTGAAAACCGTGTGGGAGAACAGGCCGAGCGCAATGTTAGCGCGGAGGTCCATGCTAGTGCTGGACGCGTTCCGGGGCCACAACACTGAGGAAGTGAAGTCCCGTCTTGCAGATGACAAGACAGACCTCGTCATGATCCCAAGTGAAATAACATCCGTGCTTCAGTTGATGGATATTTGCTTGAACAAGCCTTTTAAGGCTCACATGAAGCGCATGTACACGGAGTGGATTGCCGAGGAGCAGTACGACCTCACGCCGACGGGCCGGATCCACAAACCTGACATAGCAGTACTTTGCAAGTGGATTATCAACCCTTGGAAGGCGATTCCTACTGAGATTACTCGCAAGAGTTTTAGGAAGTGCTGTATCAGCAATCGCCTGGACGGCATGGATGACAATGCTCTCTGGGGCAATGAAGATTCTTCAACTGATAGCTGCAGTGGCTGCAGCGATGAGTAATGTTCCCATGAAGGTACTGTTTCTGGTGACTTTGAGACTGCCTTCCGTGGGTAATTATGCAAGTAATACGTGAGGTCTTTTTTTTTTTTCTCTAACAGTCGTAGGTTGGGGGTGCAGGGGCGCGTAATATGCGCGAAAATACGGTATTGCGTGAGACTGATTTTAGTTTGCGGCTATTTCGTCCGTTTTAAGTCGCGCGCCACTAAGTTGGTGTTCCGTGACGTTTGCACCCATTGGCTGCTATACTTCTCGTTGGCTAAGAGTTTGATTGACAGCTTAGATCTTGGTTGTTAAACCTTTGTTATATGTTGTAATTTCCTTTTGAGCGGTATATTTTTACGTTTAGAGAATAACCCATGTGATGAGAGTTATTATTCTTTACAAAAGGTTTACAAGACAAGTACTTCTGTTTGGATTCATACCATAACAAACAAAAGCTTCACCATTCTTTCATGGCCGCCGAAGTTTCTGCTCCTGCCTGTCTCGCCTACTTCGACTAGTCGTTTCGCCGAAGTGATCAGTATTTCGTGCTGACCCAGGTACTTGAGTGAGACTTTTTGAAGTGAAGTAGTGTATGTTTAGCAGCTGTTGCAGGTGTTAGTGATAAGAAGCGACACGGGGTTTTGGCTTTCATAGCACGGTTTGTTACTTTCATTTTCCTCTTTGCTTTCTTAGCGTGCTTTTTTTTTTTTTTTTTTTTTTTTTTGCGCGTGCAAGTGTTGAGTTTTTGGAGATGTCAGCCTATGTAAAGCGGCGCCGTTGCTCTATAAACTGCTGCCAGATGAGTGGTCGCAACAGCAACCATGTCACCCCGAAAGGTATGCTATTGGGCTGGAGGCAATAGGGCGTTCGTGTAGCAAAAAATGGTGTCCAGTTATGTTCTCGTCATTTCACTCCGGAGGCCTTCGAGATTCGCACCGGGTGCACCGAACGTCCGCGACTGAGACACAGCTGTTACATAAAAAACCTGGCACAGCCAGATTATTACGTAACAGCTGTGTGCAGAAGCCTTCGGACGTCCGAATTCTGCGTTGGACGTCAGATTTTGTTTCTCGGCTTTCGAACCATCTTACGTAAAGTTGTTTGAATGAATGTGTACTGCTATCGTAAATCTTGGCTTGTATCGCGGCTTTGTAGATTATCTTATTCGTTTTGCTGGAGAGACGCAAACGACGGGCATAACAAAATCGGTTGCATATTCCGCATACCTTGCAAAAGCACTTCCCCAGTCACCTTGCGAAAAGCGCGAAACACGGAGTCAGCGCCGTCCCGACTTCCCAGTCTTTTACCTGCTTCAGAGCAGTTTGTACCTGCTGGCTGTTTGTAGGTATGTCTACTGAAACTGCAACTTGAAACTAGGGGCAGCGCCAGAGAGCAAAGAGACAAAGTTAGGAAAGCTTGCTCGCCCTCCCCAATTTCTGAACTCTCAAGTGATTGTACAGTAATTAATGCACCAACGCCTCTTCCCAAAATAAAAAAAAACGATTTATGTTCACTTTGTAAAATATGGTCTCAGTTCATGCATCTGTGCAGGTAGCAAATCTTGCCCAAATATATTCACACCGCATGATGAGCGCAACAAACTCGCACAAGGTTTCCAAGAAAATATCGGTGGTGACTTATGTTTCCCTGAAATTCAGTATAACCAGTCATCTGCAGGACCAAATCATCTACTTGAGTGGTGTGTGTCGTTGTGCAGACACATCGCGGTGCAAACGCAGTCCAACAACACGAAGCATAAAAACGGCAGATTTAGGACAACAATCCGGAGTCCATTGTTCAGTTAAAACAACGTAATTTTGTTGAAAACGCCCGCAGATTTTTACTCACGGTATGTGTCGCAGATCTTCCACGTTTTGAAACGGAACGAAGGAAGATTTACTTTTAAAAACGCGCGCTGCGTCCTCCCGGACCAGCTTGACTGGATCGGCTGACGACGACATGACTGAACTCGTTGAACCTCAACCCCACAACCAATTTGCACTCCGTGTTAGTGTGGGTGTCTACTTCCAAGCACCGCACCACACACAACACGAACGTTCTTTGTCGCTTCGCCGTGTTGCACCAAACAGAACGAGATCGCCGAAGTCAACGCAGCGCTCTCGTGAACGTTGGTTTGTGGTTGCGCACTCGTGGACCCTGTGAATCCCTTCGCTTCCGAAGCACACACGACGATTACGAATGATACTTTCCGTCTTCCGGGAACATTCGCAGGAGCACTTCTCCAGTCACGTCTTCGCTACATGTGCTCGCAAACTGCGGAGCTTCTCGTGTCCCGTCAACCAAAACAATACCGGTGCAATGTTTAACGTGCATTGTTGCCAGATCTTACTGAAAGTCGAGACGCTGCGTCATTCAGCGCCGCAGCCAAGTCAACCCAAGAGCAAATCCAAGAGTGAGGGGCAGGGCGTACTTCTTCGCGCGGGTCGAAAGAGCGGGAGTTTCAAATGGGGAGAGGTTCTGACTCCGACTAAATTACGTCCTCTGGAATAAATATTGCTAAAAAAGTATTTTTCGCGGAACATTTGTTTTTTGCCGTGTTTGTCCCAACTAGGCTCAGTGATGTGATTGCTGCACCAACCGCGCCATACTGCGCCAAGGAGCTAACCCTGCTACATCCTGCTACGTTTTGCCAAAATATGGCTTCGCCAAGCCTGCGCCGAAGGATTAAGTTTTGTCGCCTTTCAAAACCGCCACTACTAAGTACTGTAATTCAGCATGCATGAGCAAGGTGGCGCAAGCGGCTGCCCGACACAAAGTACACTACATCAATCGTCCATCCGGTCTTGCATGGTTTTTCCCGCCGTCTCTTGTTTCGTACTCTCTTCGTGTCGTAGGTCTCGTCTCGCGTCTTTGTAAAAAAATTTAGACGATAGACGCTGGCTTGCGCGGATGCTCCGACACTAGCATGTCAAGTACCAGCCATGCCGTCACGCTGTGAAACGAAACCACTTTTTAGCGGGGCGGTAGTTACTTTGTGAGCTGAAGCACTCGCTCCTGAAAACAATGGCCGTGGGAGAACTAGTATATTTTGGCACTGCCTACCAGTCACCGTGGTCGCGCGACGTCGGGTTTTGCTGTCCCCACGTTGTTGCAAATATGGCTTTCTTAACTGAAACGTAAGGACCGCCACGTGTTCATGTTCATCAATATTGCTCTTATTTAAGTTGTACGCTAAATACAAATATCCCTCTTTAGCTCAAAGACTGCTGTGTCTTGGTATAAATTACCGAGGTTTCTCTCTGTAGGCTTTTTTTTTCAAGAGGGACGCCGGTACGTAAAAAATCTGCCGCAAAAGAAAGGTGAAGAGAAGTGAGCTAAAGTAAAGGAGGTAATTTCTGCACGCTGAACCCGCACAGCGCACTTGTTTGTCTCGAGTTCAGTCGTTGTACAAAGCGCTCCAAGAACTTTATGACCCTAGCTTGCGATTTCTTGCATCAATGTGCTCAGGCTCTTTTTTTCTGCATGTTTAGCTTGTACCTCGCCTGCCAGCTTGGCAAGCACGTGCCTCTGGATCGTTTTTTTTTTTTCGTATGTTGGGCAGTTACATTTTGCATTACAATTTTGAGAACCAGTTGGCGACGCAGCGGTGTGGCATGGTTTCGGTTTCGATCAAAGAGCCATCCCCGCTCGCGCGACGAAGCACGTGCAACTGCAAGCCTGTTGAAGTTGCCCTCATGTGCATGCGAACATGATTGCACTACAGAGGCACCAGCAGGGACGCTTGCAATTCATTGTTCTACGTTTGAGTGCTTTTGGCGAAAATCTGTCACGTCTGGAACCAGTGAAACGTTGGCAAGTGGTTTTCGGAATTGCTCGGCAATGCCTACAGCACTGTACGCTTGTGGGATGTCTCAAAATCTCTTTGGAGCCATTGAAAGTGGAGATCTATTACTAGCGGAAGGCAAAGCGAGGCTTGCAGCAGCCTTGCAGAAAGTTTTAAAAAGCAAGGAAAAAGGCACCCGCTAGTCGTAACGCGCCTTTGTCTTGTGTACAATTTCGCCTTGCACTGCAGTAGTTGCGTGTTTCATCAGTCGGAGACTGCTTCCATTTATTATATTATATAACCCGCCCAAGCTATCGTGGTCCGACGGCGTCTGGTTTTCCCTTTTTACGGCACCTATCCACGTTCTCGGACGAACTGAGCGCATGAAAACTGACCTTCAAATCTTTGTCGAACCTTTTGGTACAGCCCCAGTCGCAGCATTTTGACAAGGCAGGTTTTTGTCTGGTTCCTTTCAAAACAACGCAGGAATACACGTCTCAGATGGGCACTTCCACCCACAGCCACGGACCGGAAGTGGGTCCGACGCGCCACCACCGCGTCGTGACGTAACAGAGATGAGTTAGTGTATATAATAGTGACAGGTTAGCCCCGCAGAGTGCGCTTCTCACCGTGCACCTGTGCACTGAGGGAAAGCAATACCCGCAGAGCCCGCGAGTATTGTTTCCCCACAGTGCACTGGTGCTCGGTGAGAAGCACACTCAACGCGGCTAACCTGCCGCGATCAGCACCTCGAAAAGTATGAATATCGCAGTTCCTCTCAAAGCAAATATTCAATAATGCATAATTTGCATATTTTCACAATGCTACAAGTTACTTTTTTTTCTTTTAGGAGGGGAGGGGGTAGGTGCTAAGAGAACTTGTCTAGGATGCATGCTGTTGCTATGCTGCATGAATGCAAAAGAAAATAAACGCCAACAGTAAGGCACGGCGCGGAACATTAGGTAATTTGCTAGTCTTACGCACGCCGAGGGCTCTTGACCTGCGGAAAAGCCGCGTCGCTTCCCTCCTCGACGCCGAAACATAAATGAGGGATTTGACCGTTTCGGCCTCTACTGTTGCTGGCTCTGGCACGGAACATTGTATTGCCGTCGGCCGCACGCTTAACGCTGTGCGGAGGATCATGATTCTATTTTGCCGCCCGCTCCGCGGCATCGCCGTCTACCGGCGGAGGGTCGAGCTTGAGCGCCGCTGGTAAAAGTTGCAACACTCGGGGCGATTACAGTGCCTGGAATGCATCTTCAACCGGTGCGTTTGGCGTCCCGTCCACACATCAAAAGTGGTCCCCAAATGGCAACAAATGACGTCGCAGAAGACGGCGTGTCACGTTGTTGGGCATCGCGATCATGGTGGTTGAAGCTAGAAGTCCCGGCGAAAAGTGTGAGCAATTAAGAATGTCGCCGTTGTTGCGGAGTCCTGAACACCGAAGCTTCGATGGACTGTCAAGGTGGAGAGCGACGTGTAGCAGAACAGGCATCCGCCACACCCGCCACTGCCGCCGCGACACTGCTAGGATCGCAGCCAGCGACAACGTGACGCTTGTATGACGTCGTCATGCGGAAGTTGAGGGACCACTGTTTGGGACGTGGGAAACATACCGGTCGGAGACACGTTCCAGACGCTGCTGTCTACTAACCGATCCTTGACGTTGGCTGTCCGCATTTTCCCGCAGTTACGTGTCGTACCGCGACCCAGACGTGGGGAGCGTGTTCGTGCGGGAGTTTGTGTCGGTGGTGAGGGAGAACTGGCGCAGCAGGGACCTCGTGGAGATGGCGACCATCATCAACGACCGGATTGCCAGCAAGGCCATCCCCGTGCTGATCCGTGGGCTGGACTTCCTGTGGGACAGGCAGGTCTCGGAGGTTACGTCGTCGCTGCGCAAGAAACTCTTCCTCCGCATGAGGTGACGGCAACGGCGACGACGTCCTGGCATGCCGCGGAAGTTTCACATCGTGCGGGCTGCTCTACCTTTACGATGACGACGATGATGGTTATGACGACGTCAGTTAAAATGTTCTCCTTGTGTGAACGCTGAAATTGCACGCCGGACGAGCTGACGCTTTTCGTCTCTAAACAGGAGGCGACAATGTTCTTTTTTTTTTTTTTCGGAAGTCAGATACATTGTGTGGATGTTTAGACGGCTGTGTATCAAGGTCCCTTCACACACTTGCATTTCTTGCGACCGTGTGCCTTAATACCTAAAAAAATACTCTTACGATGAGAGAACGCACTGGCACACTGGCTCCATCTATGAGGCAACCCTGGAACCGAATTTCACTAGAGCGAAGGATTTACAGTATTTACAAGATTGAATGTACATACTGTCTATGAGAAATGGTCGTTCATGACAATGTTAAAAGTTTACCAAGCAAAAACGAAAAAAAATAAAAGGATGATGCGCAAAAAGAATGGAAATTATAGAGCAACTGAAAGTGTTTTCCCGGCTTCCCAATACATGGCAGCAGTGTGTCCTCTCAGTGATGTGATTGCTGCGTCAATTGCACCAAACTGCGCCAAGGGTCTAACCTTGCTACATCCTGCTACATTTTACCAAAATATGGCTAATATGCGCCAAGCCTGCGCCAAAGGACCAATTTTGGTCACCTTTCAAAAACGAAACTAGACTGAGAACCGTGAGCTAGGTGGCACAAGACGCCGCCCGACACAAAGTACCCTGTATCAATCGTGTATTCGGTCTTGCATGATTTTTCCCGCCTTTCTCGCGTTTCGCACTCTCGTCGTCTCAAAAATCTCGTCTCGCGTCTTTTTTTTTTTTTTTTTTTTTTTTTGCGATAGACGTGGGCGTGTGTTGACGCTCCAACGTTAGTGTGCAAGGTGCCAGACATGCCGTGATACTGTGAAACAAAAGCATGTTTTTGCGCGGCGAGAGTTACTTTGCGAGCTGAAGTGCTCGCGCGACCACAGTCGCCGTGGTCGCGCAACGTCGTGTATTGCCGTCCCCACGTCGCTGCAGATATGGCGCTTTCCAAACTGAAACGCATCGACATTCCTGCTCTTGTTTAAATCATACGCTGCTATAAAAATCCCTCTAACTCAATGAATGCTTGGCGAAGTTTTGATTACCTAGGTTTCTCTCGGTGGGCTTTCTTTCGAGAGGGACCCCGGTACAGGAAAAATCTGCCGCGAGAGAAAGTTGGTAAAGAGAAGTGAGCTAAAGCAAAGAAGGAAATGTTCACACGCTGAACCCGCACACCGCTCCCGTTTGTTCGAGTTCAGTCGTTGCACAAAGCGCTCCAAGACCTTTTTGACCCTGATTGGCAATGTTTTGCATCGATACGCTCAGGTTCTTTTTTTTGGTTAGCCTGTACCTCGCCTGCCGGCCTGGCAAGTCATGCCGCTGGACTGTTTTCTGTCGTATGCCGGACAGTTACATTTTGCAGACTATTTTGGGAATCAGTTGGCGGCGGAGCGGAGTGGCGTGGTTTTGGTCGAACAGCTGTTGTCTCCGCTCGCGCGACAAAGCACGTTTGACTGCAAGCCTGCCGAAGTTGCCCTCACGTGCATGTGAACATGATTGCACGAGAGGTACCAGCTAGGATGCTGGCAATCCATTGTTTTACGTTTGCTTGCTTTTTATACAAATCTGCCACGTCGGGAACCAGTAAAACGATAGCAAGTGTTTTTTTCTTCTTTTTTTTCGGTATTGCTCGGCAACGCCTACAGCACTGTATATTGTGAGATGTCTCAGCAGCAGAAACACAAGCAGCGAGTTCTGCCCAACACGTCACAACGCAACACAAAGTGCCCTTCTTTTGTCCAGCACATAAAACTAATATTTATTTTTTTAAGAATATATATGCTCCAAAAGCTACTTTTTTTTCTGCTCCGAAACACTGTTTTGGCTGCTTAAAAAATCACTTTTGGTGCTCCAAAACACCGTCTTGGCTGCTCCAAAGGCCACATTTGCTGCTCCGAAACACTGTTTTGGCTGCTACAAAAGGTGCTCCAAAATGGCTTAGGCCAATCACATCACTGCCTCTCCTCATAAGAGATTTTAAGACGTTTTAAGGCACGCGGTTGTAAGCAGTCACACGTGTGTGACCGGGCCTTTAGTCTGCCCTACAACGGCTTTTGCTGCCTCCACTCTGAATGGGCGATCTGGCAAGTGAAACGAGACTGCTAAGCTGGGGTCTTGGCATGCATCAGGCAGCAACTCTCGGCCACCCGGTCCCACCCCTTTTTGTTCAGTGTGGACGTTCCTGTTTTTTGCGGCCTTGTCTACATTCGCCCAGTTGGCAAAGTGCTTCTTGCTCGGTGGCAAGTGAGTCGCTTGACAACACTGAGTGATGCATGGTCACTTCGTGCTCTATAACCGTAACCGCTGCGGCCTGGCTGGGTTACGTTTGCTGTGATGCATCACACCTTGTTTGTTGGGCAAACTTCTTTTTACTATCCTGCCAAGACTGGCATAGTTCTGACAGCGTTGTGCACCCTCTTGCGGTGAGAAAGGCGGGTGAGGGAACTTTGCTGTCTTCTTTTTGGTGGAGAGGGGTCATTCCTTGCCTTCCTTTGCTATCGGAGCACTGGGGAAGCTTTGAACCTAGGTCAACATTGTCCCTGCGTGCAGTCATATGTCACTGTTGCATGTTAATGACCCCAGGCTAACAGTGCAACTGCACTGGATAGACTCAATGCTGCTTACACGTCCATGTATCTAATTTCTGGAGAAGCGATGCTTGCCTTGGCCTACATTGCACAACCATTTAAGAGTGAGGTCATATTTTGGTGGGCAGAGTAATGCCAATTTTCGGTCATAGCAAAAAAAAAAAAAAAAAAAAAATGGGAGAAACAATTATTGAGATACAGCATTTGCAAAGTACCGGCCAAGGAAATGAGTAGAGCTCGAACGAAAATGTTCTGTGCTTTCCCCTCTGCAACATGCACGCTTTTCAACTACTGGTTACAGGAGAGCTGGTGGAAAACAAGAAGCAGACTCAAAATGTCTCAAGCTGTTTGAAGTTTACTTATATACAATATAGTGCCATTTTGCCTTCTAGCAGGTGACATGCTGAGGAGGGAGCAGTCTCATATGAGCATCCTTTTCGTTCTAATAAACTCATTTTTTACTAAAAAATAAAAACTGACCATGATGGAAGTGTTTATACTCAATGAAGGAGAGTATGCTGATTATGTCGCAAGAAAAATATTTCATGTAACAATGTTTCTCCATATCACGCAATGTGCAGTTCAAAAGTTACCCGAAAGAGAACCTTTAGCATGGTTCCGATCTTGGTACATAGTAGGCTCATTCGATTTAGCTACACCGACCTCCACCGGTGCACAAAAGTGCTGGGTAGTGTACTTCCGGACGCGTTTTGAGACGCAGGTAAATCGAACGCAGCAATTATGATCTTATTACATATTGTTGTTATTGTATGAGACATTTTCGTCAGGATATCTGGCTACTTTGCACATGATTTTGTCTTTTTCACCACCCCAATAAAGTTGTTCCCGAATTTGCAACCGAACTTCCGCTAAACGAAACTGAAAACCGCGAACAATTAAAGGTAACGATAATATTTATTTGCGCAAGAGGGTTACGCTGGTTAGCATGCGAGACTGAGCATAAATAGAGTAAGTGCTCCGCTTTCAGAGCAGAGTGAAGCAACAATCTCCGATTTTGGCCCCCAAGTATTGCGGGAAGTGGCCGTCGATTGTGCAGGAGGCGAGACGGGAGAGACATAATGCTAGAGAGCCTAGATTGGGGAGGGGGTTCATTTCAAACCATGGGGAACCAATCCCGGTCGAGCAGTTCGAAACTTCTTGTAATTCAGGCTCTACACCAGGTGTAAATTCAATGCGCATCTGTGCACGCTGCGCCGTTTACGTGTCTGCTTGTTCGCAGCAGCTTTGAAACTGTGCTCGCGTTTTAAAAACAACGCAATTACACAAGACAGTAGCACACAGAATGTCCGAAGGTTCCAGAAGCCTACTGTTTGTCATACTTCAGTGCAAGGTCTGCATTTCGCGATCGAAAAATATGTCCCGCGCGCTTCACAAGGTCGCTTCCCTGCGAACGCTGTAGTCAAATTTGGCGCATGTCTCCGCCAATGAGTTGGCGGCGAAAAAAGAAAAAAACGGAAGGTGATACTCTGGCTTGGCCATTTAGTTACTCTGAGCAGAAAAATTATAACCCGTGTGCCCAAGATACAAGACAAAAAAATAAACAAAAACAAAGCGAGTTCAACGTCACCCGTGTCACGATTGCAGTGCTGTTACAGAATCGGCACGGTCTTGGGGAAGGAGCGAACGTCCTCGCGGCTCATTCAGTTGATTTTATTCAAATGTATTTACACTGTTAAAAGTGCTTCCTTGACAGAACTAGAAAAGTATCCCATCCCTTTGTGCAAACGATGACCGCGGCTTGCCGAAACTGCGCATTCTCATCAGAAAATTTAGGATTTGCTGTGCCAAACCAACTAAGGGCATCTTTCAGAGCCACCTTGCCGGTGAAAGCGCATTCCCACGAGCGGCTCCCCTAGTTTTTAGTCACCACAAAAATAAACTCTACATCGTCAAACCTTCACTCCCCGCCCAAATAGGCATTCGGTGATGCATAGTTTGTTTTTGCGTAAAAAAAGAAGGGGGGGTAGGGAATTTATTTTTTTAGGCTGGACACGTATTTGCATTATGTGTATAACGGAGAACATGTAAGTGGTTAACGTTAAACATCCACGTTTCTGTTCCTCGGCCTCGGATTTTCAAGATATTGTATTTGCCAATGTTTGGAAGTAGTTGAAGTACTACCTCAAATAGGCTTGAAAGCTTCTACTTTACTGGATGTATACATTCTCTAAAATGTGCGTAGTACTTGTACTTTCTTAAAGTATTTTTTCTGGTACTTTCTGAGGAACTTAACTACAATTTCGGGCTTCATAGAACATTCCCGAAATTTGGGCTGGTTACATATTTGTATCATATAATGATGCTTCGTCCACTTTGAAGAAATACTGAGAGGAATCGTTCTACTCTCACCAGAAACTCGAGCAGACGACACATTGCTGGTCATTTCTCTGAGTGAAGTAATGGTGGCTATAAGACATACAAATAAGTGCCTTATATGTTAATTGTGTTAAATAGTTTGCCAGTGAGAGAACTCTGTGGCCACCTACCTGACTTTACCCGATATTGGCCGCCACGCCTGAAAATAGCTGATGGACCCCCGATTACCCCCGGAGCAATGCATACTGGTAAGAACATTATAGGGGAGTGAAAGAGCATTGAAAGACATCATGAAAGAATTGTATTAAAAAAATGGACGACATTTATAAACCTCTGTAATGCGAAATTAGAGCGCAGCTCTTGAGGAGGAGAGGGTATATCCTACTCCCACGTACCCTCCCTCCTCCCAGTTTCCCCGCTAAATTTAGCTGGAAAATTGACGCCACGTGATCGCAACACCGATTCAGTTTCCCCGTTAAATTTAGCGGGGATAATAACGTCACGACTTCGTGTCACGTCACCCATGAACAAATTCAGTTTCTCCGCTAGATTTAGCAGGAAAATTGATGTCACTTCGCATCGCAAAAAAAAAAAAAAAAAATAGATGGTCACATTGGCGTGCGCGATGAGCGAATCCAACGCCTTCGTTGGCGAGTCGCTTCTCGCAAACTTTTGCTCCGAATGCCCTTGATTGGCTCAGCCGCTCCGCGATTAGATCGCATCGCAAAAAGTCGGGTCGAGTAGCGGCTGCTCAAATCGCGTCGCTTTTTTTCCCGCGGTGGCCGTTTTTGCGATGAAAGTTTTCGCGCGACTAGATCACATCGCCGCTAAAAGCTTAAAGCACAGTTTATTTACACTACTCGGCTCGATCAAAAATTGACCGTAAAGATCGACGCCTGCACCTAGCAATCAACATTTCGTCAACGGTGTATTTCACAGGTCGGTTTTTCTTGTAAAATCAGAAAGCGTAGCTCCCTTTCTGTAAAAACATTGGACCAAGAAACTTGCCAGGGTCAACGCTTGGCGCTGGCTCCCGTGGTAGCTCGCGCTACCACGGGAGCCAGAGTTGCTCGTTCATCCCCGTAACGCCGGCTTTCCTGCACGGCACTTGGAGTCAGCTCCTCACGTGACTGAATCCGGCGAATAGCGGCGACCCGCGTTCTTTCCTCCATTTCTGTATAACAGGAAAGGAGGAGGAGGCAAAAGCAGGGGAGCGTACGCCGAGACGCCGCTTGTACCGTCGGCGAAGCGGCCGTACCGGTGGCTTTCCTGCACGGCATTCGGAGTCTGCTCCTCACGTGATCGGATCTCGGCGAATAGCGGCGCGGCGGCACGTGGAAAACAGACGCGCCACTCTGGCTCGAGACGGCTCGCGATCGACCACCGTGGTTTACTAAAATAATCATAATATTTTTGTAATGTACCTTTGGTTAAAAAAATTAATGCGGACAATAATAATAATAAAAAAAGCGTCTGCATATCGATGGCGTTTTTGCTGCAAACGGATTTCGTCTGCGTGTCGTCTGCTTTCTTTCTCAGGTCGGCTGCACCAGACACGTGCCACGAAGCGGGTGTTCCGCCCACATTCGCTTCCAGGAGCCGCTCATCTCAGTGCTGCGCTTTGACGAAAAGTTTAGATTGCTACGTGCAGGCGTCGATTTTTACGGTCCATTTTAGATCGAGTTTGCGCTTGGCCCACCCGTAAACACCCCTTCGCGGCGGCCTGGTCCATATTACATGAGCGAATGTCACCTTAGCGAACAGCGACATTTGAGCGAATCGGCGTTCTGCGAATATCGGGGGGCGCGTGTCACCTCGCGTCCCCTCCCTCCTCCTCCTCCTCCCCTCTCTCTCCCTCCCCTCTCCCCCGGATGGATGGATGGATGGATGAATACGGCTGAGCCCTTTGGATCGGGCGGTAGCTTACGCCACCTAGCCATTTTGTTTTACCATTTAAGCTTAGAATATTTAAATGTGAAATCTATATTCACTCCGCAGTGCAAAGAAAGTGAGGCTATGAAACCCCCTTGCCATCAGTGAATAAGAAAATACCTAGTTTTCTCTCGATTTCTGCCACCATTCACTTAATCTTTGCTTGGTAATCTCTACAGTCTTGAAATCCACTCTCCCTTCGCTGTCTCTAAAACCCAATGACTTTATTAAATCTATGTTGTCTTCGGTAGGCATAGGGTGAAGCCCTTTACAGTAGAGTATCAAGTGCTCAGCCGTCTCGTCCTCCTCTCCACAAGCAATGCACACTGTATCCATTTCCTGGTACTTCACTCTGTATGTTCTGGTTCGCAGAACACCCGTTCTTGCCTCAAACAGCAATGAGCTTCCCCTAGAATTGTCATAAATGCTTTCTTTGGCAATAACTCTTTTGTTTAATCTATAGCTTTCCAGAGCAGTCTTTGTCTGCATTCCCTCTAGCCACCGATCCCTTTCTGTGGCCTTAACTTTCTTCTTAACTGAGACTTGCTCTTCCGTATCTTCGCTATAGCCCAAAAACTTTCCTCTTAATTTCCTAGTGCGCTGTCTCCACTTTGTGTCTACACTCCTCATGTATAAATAGCTGAAAACCTTTCGTGCCCATTGCTCCCCATCCATTATCCTCAACCTATCCCCGCGCACGCGCTTACGCCTCTTCGCGGCGACAGTCTGCGGCGGATCATTCCAAAAATGTGAACCCACCTGTAAATGTTGTTGCACGGCGGCCGACTATTCGCTGAAGTGTCATTCGGTGCAACGTGGGCGTTTACTAAAACGTCTTTCGATCAAGTGAGTTCCTCCCCTGTTGAAGCCATGAAACTCAAATTACTTCCATCTCGCCATGACAAGTGGTGGGAGCGCACATAACGAGCGGAGCTCGATGCCTTTATAGGTTAGGTTTCCATAGCTCAAAACATTTCTGAGATAAAGTGGCCACAAAGTAGTTATCTTCAGGAGTGGAGCCAAATTCAGAAGTCCCCCTTCTGAATTTTGAGCCGTTTGCACTGGATTGTTGCACCCAAGGTGGTTAAATGTACGAGCATGACGTCAACCCCGTAGCTTCCGCAAGCAATCTTCTCATAAAGGAATGTCCACTCTTTATTGAAAAAAAACAAACAGTGAGTGTGAAAGCGAGCTGGTGATGATTAATCATAATGTGACACCTGAGATTGGGGTGCGAAAAAATTGGGGAACTATCAAGTCGAAGGAAAAGACAAAAGAGAACGTTTCAAAACATTGTGACGCTTTCCCCTGTTATCTTCTTCTTCTTCGACTTGAAAGTTTAATTGTTCCGCACCACAGTCTCAGGTGCTAGATTATGATTCATTTTGCTCTGACAGTATTTTAAACCTCCTCCCTTGCGCTGTCCAACCGGGAAGTAGCAAGACGAGTTCAAAAAGCTACTAGAAAGCCGCCTGCAGAACAAGCGGAGCGAGGCGTCGTCTGCTCACGTCTCTGGTGAGAGTAGAATATCCCCCCCCCCCCCCAATATTATTTCAGAGTTGACAAAGCATTATTTCGTGGTACAACTTTGACAAAACCAAATTTGGGGAATGTACTTTGAAGTCGGGAATCGTACTTTCCTCGGAAAGTACCAGAAAAAAATACTCAAGTACAAGTACATACTCGGAGAATGTACTTCAAGTAAAGTACAAGTTTCCTAAACCTACTTGAAGTAGTACTTTAAGTACAATGTAGTTAAAGTACTTCCCAGCACTGTTTATCTGGGACAAGAGCGAAGTGGAAGCTCCTCTCACCTCTTTCCACTTTAGTAGAGCGAACGCTGGAGAGGAGGCGACCTCTTTTCCATCGTTCGCTCCGCTGAAGTGGAAAGGGGTGGGAGGAGCTTCCACTTCGTTCTTGACCTGGGACCATCTGTTCCGTTTCCCGTGTATCACTGGTGCGCGTGTTAACCCAGGCCCCCCGCTGTGTTCCCGCCGCTTCGCGGTGAGGAGTCTGCGGCGGCTCATTCATTACAAAAACTTTAGCTCACCTGAGCCATCCATCCGTACACGCCGCTTCGCGGCGGCGCAATACGCTAAAAGGAGGCTCATCGACGTCTTCTAGAAGCTGGGTTTCTCTATAAAAGAATTTGATAAACTGGGGTCGGTAAAACTGCGTTCGCTAAAACGAGCTTCTCTAAACCACACGCCTCCGGAAGGATATAACGTCTCATTTGTATACTTTACCCAACACATGGTATTTGCATGCTTACCTTTCTGTCCGCATTGTACGGGAGGAAGGCATCGAGGCTATCGAGGCATCGTTTCACGACAGGCACCGTCTCACGACAGCCATCGTCTGCCACACACTCCGCCGGTTCGGCGCCGATTCCTATAGTTTCGGAATCGGTCTCGAGCTGTCTTCTGCGGTCTCGGCTTTGCGCAGTCGCAGATTGCAGTCGATATAAATCGAAACTATCATGTGGATCTGCGCGCAAAATTAACATTAAGAATACAATTATCTGGCGCTAAAAATAATAATAATAAAAGACTCCTAGACCTGGTTTTGTTCCATACCCCCTTTGTTTTCGCTTTCAAAGTTTCGGTTTGGTTCATCGTCGCCTCCAACCATAGAGATCATACATACTAACCCTAGAGGAAAAGGTCCGCCATTTTCCCATACATTCTGGCTGCCGCAAGCGGCGGATCATGCAGGCAGACCCTCGGGGTCCCAAACACGGTTACATCATCAGAGCAGTTTCGTGAACTTCAACAATCCACGAACTTACCGGTGGAAAGATATTCGCGTTCCTTTCGAAGCTTTCTTTTTGCATAGCGCGCAGATGTACGGCCTGGCGTTAACGCTAAACTAAACCATATACCCGGCTTCGCCCAACGTTTATAGTTGGCTTCGCCGGTGGGGCGCGGCTGGGCGCGGTTGAGGAATACGAAACTGCGCAACTACCAGATTTCCGAGATTTCGACAGAAGGGAAGTTAATGCAGCGTAATGACTTTATTGCTTTAGAATAGCTCAGAATTTCGTTTACAATGTTAAATTATCACTGTTTATATTGCTGAGAGTTTTCACTCTTCGCGTTTCCCATGGCAACGTTGCTTTCCTTCTCGTGTTCTGTCGCTCTCTTTTGCGATCGTTCACTCGGGACCCCGGGTGTCGGCGCACGGGAGTTGCCACTCCTCCTCACCCACCTTTACCCCCCTGCCTCCAATCCAACTGAACTACTCATAGACTCTGCATGCACGAAAAGTAGCCCCTCTCACTCACCACGATTCGCGCCTCCCATCGCGCGACGCGCCGGTCGGTTGCTATGGTATCGAAGCGCCATCTAGATTTTCGTTTACGAAATGTGTGTGCCATAGCATGGCCTCCGAGATCCCGAAGCGCGCGCGCGAAGGCTTCTCCGGCCGTCCCAATCGTCTCGCTCCCCAGCAGAAGAGTGTAATTGCGCTAACTCCGTCGCTCGCCGCGAGGCGGCGCTCCCAACCCAGTCATGGACAGCATGGCGCGAGGCTCAGGAGTTCAAGAAAAAGTCTTGTTACGTCGAGTTACTGCAACTTATACTTACAAATGTTTGTGTATTGTGGTAGAACGGTGAACAGCTGCTCTGGGGACGGAGATAGAAAATTTGTTGTGCTTATTTAATTACTGTATTTAATTTGAGATATTCATCTGGACATGTTGCGGCTAGCGCTACAAGCTCGCCTTTTGGTATATTTGATTGCAATCTGTAGGGACCGGGCAGGGTACCAGTCTTGTATTCACATCTACATGGGGGGCCAAAGCAAGCCAAACCGACCATTTCTTTCTTTTTTCTTTCTTAACGGCTTGTTCTTTGGAATTATGTTCGGGGGTTGGTAGAGGAATCACAGTGGGGGGATAAACAGATGCTAAAGCATGTGTGTGTGGGTATATGTTTTTGTATGGTTCGGTGTGTGCAGCCAATGCTCTTCCAGAGGACTACCGGCACGGCGTTTCTTTTTGTCCCCGGCGGCGCCGCCATCATACAAGCGCTTCTCACCACAAACACGCACATACACGCGCCTAAACAACGTGTGCACCCTCGCCGGCGTAAACCATCTGTTTCCCGGAGAGGTACTCTTCCTGAACAATTTCTCGCAGACCACCGCAAGCGACGACGACATTGCTGTTTTTTTTTTTTTTGTTTTTTTTTGTTTTTTTACGGTTGTGCGCAGCGAAATTGGCTAATTTAGAACTTTGCCCGTCTTTTGTCCAAACCCGTCGCGATGTGTCCCTTCCTTTCCAACTGTGACACGTTGTTTTGTTTACTTCTACTTGTCATTTTTGTTTTTTCCGTTCTTTCCGCGCGTGTTTGGTCGCAGAACAGGAAGATCGGGTGATTTTTCTTAACAAGCTGCCTACGCCTGCAGATTGGTCGAATAATAATACTATCAGCAAGAATAAAATGCTTACAGTATTTACTGTAAGCGTCGTAATCAACCTATGTGTAGCAGTTGCAAGCGAGCTGCCATGCCGCGCAATTTGTGAGCTATTCATACTGGGCTAAAATAAAGCGCAGCGTGCCCGTGAAAGTTAGCTTCGGGTCGGGCTGCGCCGGCTGTCGGAAATGGATAGCGGATAAACCAGAGTTCTTTTTCCTGAGATCCCATTGTTTGTTTGCATATCAATTAAGTTATATCACAAAGTGCATTACGGGATACGGTGGTCTGCGCTACATGTGCCAAAAACTAGATGTTTACAAGATAACGCCCCACCTTTTCAATAAGTACCTACAATTATCACGACGTTTATAAAAAAAATGGTGAAACCATTGCGAGGTGCATGTACCTCACCGCCAAAGGTTTTTCCCCAAACCCGGGGTCACGCTGCTTGTACATCATACAAAAGACAGTCTGCGAACAGATTCACACTCGAGTCACCACGAGATCTCAGCTTCGAATGCCACAAGGCAGTTCAATTAGAGAGTTGGCACGCAGCGTTTGAACCACGGATATCGTGGTGACTGATATCTGCAGACTGTCTTTTGTATAATGTATAAGCAGAGTGACCTCGGCTTAAAGGTACTTCTAGTAGAAGCAAACACCGCAATACGACCCGCAAAAATTGCGTAATATTAAAAATATTGAAACAAGGACAACACGGACTTCATATATAGTATCAGACCTCGTGAGGCTCAAAAAGCTACGCCAAACAACATGCGAAGGTAAAAAAAAAAATATATTGCAACATGAATATTTTTATTTAGGGAAGTACTATTTTTTATGTACGGAGCTTTTCTTTTTTTAGTTTTATACGTGCTACAAATTGCAATCAAATATATCAAAAGGCGCGCTTGTAGCGCTAGCCGCAACATGTTCAGATGAATATCTCAAATTAAATAATTAAATAAGCATCACAAATTTTCTATCTACGTCCCCGGAGCAGCTATTCATCGTTCTACCACAATACCCAAACATTTTTAATTATAAGTTGCAGTAACTCGACGTAACAAGACTTTTTCTCGAACTCTTCAGCCTCGCGCCATGCTGTCGATGACTGGGTTGGGAGCGCCTCCCCGCGGAGAAATGCCGCCTACTTCTCTTTTTTCAATTACGCCCTCTCCGCACGAATGGGACGGCCGGAGAAGCGTTCGCGCGCTTCGGGATCTCGGAGGCCATGGCCATAGCATGGCCTCCGAGATCGTACGCGCGCCTCGCGATCTCGGAGGCCATGCTATGGCACACACATTTCGTAAATGAAAATCTAGATGGCGCTTCGAACGACGGGAGGCGGACTGAAGTGAGTGAGGGGGGATTCCGCAGGAGTTCCACAACTGAGGTCACAAAACTCAAGGAGCAAGCAGGCCTGCCTAGCATAAAGACCAGATTAGAAACGAATAGAATGAAACTTTTTTTTCAGATATTTCATGGTCATTCGATGTTGGATACCCGACAATACGTCGTGATGTCTCCTCCGGTGTACCACAGAACAAAACATAGCTTAAATATCCAGTCCTATCAATACTCTACGGATCATTTTAAGCACTCCTTTTTTGTTCGATGTATTGATTTCTGGAATAAGCTGCCTGAATGTATAGTCAACTCTCAAAGTGTGTCAACTTTTGTGAAGGAAATTGAAATGTTTCTTTCTTCCCATGTCACCAAGGGATGTGACTGAATAACTGAATTCTTTGTGTGTCCTTGGTATGTTTTTGAAAATATGTACCACTCCTGCCTTGGCCTCACGGCTGGCAGAATGAATAAATAAATAAATAAATATAGTAACGTTGCCTCCAGCGGGCCGTTTCATTATAGCAAAAAAAAAAAAAAAAAATTTAACAGATGTTTAACTTGCAATGTTCACAGCTTGCATTAACTAGCCTAAAAACCAGAAATGCAGTGCTGCATCTTTTTTTTTTTTTTCAAATATTGTTTTTTTTTTTAAGCAACGCCAACCAGTTATTGATAAATAGTTTAAAAAAAAAAAATGAAATCGTTGCTGTCGCTGCGCTGGTTCTCGACGAAATGTGTTGGCATTCAGCGCAGAGGTTCCGACTCGACGAAGAATAAAAATTCCAACCTCGCAGCGGGTATCTTTTTTTTTTTTTTTTTTGGTTTGGGGGGGGGGGGGGGGGGGGGGGTATGGGTTTCTCTGAATACTGGGGAAGGGCGCAAAATCCATCATAGCTTGGTTCCTTTTCTTTCTTTCTCCTTCGCTAGAAATTGAAAAATAGTTTTAGCTAGGTTGCTTGCAGGCCCTGGCTTTACATTTTCTGCTGACAAGACTGCGGCAGAGAGCATTCTCTGATCCATTATTGCACAGGGTGTCAAAAAAAAAAAAAAATTTTTTTTTTTTTTTTTTTTTTTTTGTTGCAAAAATAAACTAGGCATCGCCGAACGCTCATTCTCCGCCCAAAGGTAGCGCTAGAGATCACAACCAGATGCCAAAGTTTCAGCCCAATCCGAAACCTTATTCAAAAGTTATAAGTGATTTTCTGAAAAGTTCTATGGGAAAATGGCGGCGGAGTTTTCGAATACATGGGGCTGTATGGCACGAGAAGCCGAAAACGAGCAAAAATGGGCTCCATTTTCCCATTGCAATTTTCAGAAAATCAATTATAACTTTTGATTAAGTTATCGGATCGGGCTGAAGCTTTGGCACCTTGGTTCACGAAAGCCCTGAAGAGACTGTCAAATAAAAAAAAAGCGCTTGTACCGTGCGGCCAAGTTTTCCCAGTGTGAGCGTCGCTGGGCCGCATATCACAATTCTGTAGAAGTGTACAAAAAAGCGATTGAAGGCGCTAAATCTCACTTTTTCACGCATAGTCTTCCAGACATGTTGGTAAATAACCCCATTAAATTTTGGAATACTGTTAACAAAAAGGACCGTTTTTCAATTTCT